CCGGTGGTGACGTTAGCCGATCTCTCAAAAAAGTCACCTCACCTAAGGGGCATCTCCTACGACTTGCACCCCTCTGACCGCTATATTCAAGAAGTCTGCTGGGCACCACCTGGTGTGGCAAGAACTGTGCATCTATTGACGACACCACTCCGCAAGTTCGCCTCTGAGAACGAGAAGGTCGATGAAGATAACCTATTGATGTCGGATATGGTGGTCTGTCTGATGCGTTGGGCCTTCTCGACAGCCCTGCTATCAACCTACTTTCCCGACTCCCCCACTGTCGAGATAAGTTGGCTTATGAGCCATCTCACCAACACCATGTTCGCAGTCAACTCGCTTTCCTTCTCCTCTCGTCAGGGCGGTCCTGTAGCTGGATTATTCTATCATCGCAAGACCTGCAACAGAGTCGCCGAGGCGCTTCGACGAGGGGGAGACCCGGCCAATGAACTAAGACTCCTCTCGGACTTCTCCGAAAACGATGCTCTGAGGGCCTGCAACGACGCCATAAGCCACAAGGAGAAGAAGAAGAAGTCGTGGTGGGGCTCAAACGCTGGTTATCGTAATAGTTACAGTGGGAAGAGGCCTCGTAAAGAAGCCGACAAGACGAAGGGACCCCCCAAGTGAGCACCCCACCTCACCCTCCTCACCTCACCAGTTCGTACTCGCGAGTGCGTTGTTCCCGGTGGATACTCCTCTTCTTTCCCTACTATGATATGTTGTTGAGTTGAGTAGTACCGAGGGGGGATCACTCATCGATAGACACTGTCTCTATCAAGCTTATTCTGTCCAATGGGGAAACGTCGGCATCAATGGAATGCCAGAGCTCCTCGTGGGAAGAAAGCCCACACAACCCCGACTCGTCTAAAGGCCATGGCTATAGACGCTCTCACTGAGATCCTGGCGAAAGAGGGCCGGGATGAGCCCATATTTTATTATAGTTCGGCAAAGGTCGACACTGCAAAAATTCGGGAATTTTCGGTGGATGGAGACGCCAAAGCCCACGCAGCTCAAGCTCGAGTCAGGGCCCATCCGCTTGACAGCAAACCCTCGCTACCGGATTCTCTGTTGGCAGCGATTGACTACCAATCTTCGGCGACCAGTGAGGTCGTCAACAAAGAGAGGCGCAGCCTCTTAGGCTCTCTGCGAGCCAGGGCCTCCGAGTTGGGGCCTACAGCCGAGATCTGGCGCTGCCAGATGGACCCAGGAGTCCGCTCCATAAGCGGCCACCTGAACCTACCTCTCTTACAAGAGCTCATACAGCTGACACAATACTCGGATACCCAGCTGGCTAAGGACATACAACAGGGTCTGCCTGTGATCGGCAAGATGCCGGAGATAAAGGGGGTCTTCGCCCCGCTCAAGTCAAATCCTGACCCGAAGGAATCCAATAAGAAGAAGACGACGAAGAAGAAGAAGTTGACAGCGTCTCAGCTCTTGGACGAAGCCTCGTCATCCATGAGAAAAACCTTGAACGAGATCCGTCTAGGAGAGTTCGACGAGGAGATTTGGACAGCCACCCTAGCTGAGGTAGAGTCGGGACTCATGGAGGGTCCATACAGCCACGAGGAGGCATTCCAGAGGTTCGGTCGCCACGTCATCTCTAAGCGCTTTCCGGTCAGACAACCGGATAAGACGAGATTATGCGACGACTATCGCCGGAGTCAGGTTAATGCAGCCACCGAGTATACCCAGCGTATCACTCTCCCGACTCATCATACGTTGGAGGTGGCATGGAGGAAAATGTCTAAGGCACGA